CAGTTTCTCATTGCGCATCGTGGCCACACGTACGTACACGAACCGAGGCAACGTTTTATTTGTCGAGCAGAGTGGAAAATTGTCGGTACGATCGGCCACGGCAGGGTAGGAATTACGATTACACGTTAACGATAATTTAACAACAAGTGGAAACAGCGTGCTATTACAGGATGTCCGTGGCCCGTTCGTGTACGGTTCGCCTCTTAACGATTTAATAATTGCGCGGCTCCTTTCGTTCTCCAAAACAAACACGATCATTAACTGCGATGTAATTCGTTACCCACGGATTCGATATGCAACCAGCTTGACGAGGACCTCCGCCGTTTGCTTTTACATTATTATTACGGCGTAACAACATGCGAGGTCCGACACGAAAAAGACGAGACATCTTTTATTAATCCTTTCAGTCTCAAAGAAAGTGTAAAGCATCTCAAGAGGAAATAAATATTAAATTCTGCTCAACCGAAGTTCCAATAACATGCTTGCTACCTTGATTAACATACCCATCAGAAAGAAAGGTTTCCTCGAAAAGAATATGAACTATATAATTTGGTATATTACAATTCTGCCCTCTTAATTCCAGTGGATCGTGCATATCTCAAACAAAGTTTTAAAATAACATTTTAATTTTATTCAGTTCAAGCTACGATATATGTATTTGGATAATACGGTTATTAAATAACTCTCACGAATAACGTGTAGATAATGTAGCTTACTTGCTGCATTTAAATACACGAGTAGTTTTCGTAATTTTCCTAGAAATATTCCTAAATTATACCACTGAATGTAAGATAGGTTTCAAGACACTCAGGCCATTTTCGAGTATTGAAATATTAGTATATTAAAATACTATTCAAATTCTCTCGACGAAATTATCAATTCTTTGTAAGCCAATTGTTAGCCAAAGATTAAAATTCAGAATTTAAATTCAATTTTAGGTTTCTTCCATCAAAGCTAAAAATACTGGATTTACTCTCAGATTAGTACTCAGTTTGTAATAAGAATATATGTAATATTATATATGTAAAAATATCTGAAATAACTGAATCTCGTTTTCTTGTGTCGGACCTCGTGACGCAAAAAGAGTGTCTACATACTGTGTGTGACAATTAGTCCGGCAGGTATGCGATAATCACGGGTTTTTACTCAAAGGAAGATACTAACCTATTTCGCAGGATGGCTGCTATGTCTCCCTGGCGAAATTTCCGCGAAAAAATTCTCCACGTGCCATTCTGTCACGTCGCGTCGTTAATTGTCGGCAAAGTTGCGGAAACGCCACGAAGAAAACTTTAAGGCGCCTCGCTAGCGGTGTCTTTGGAACGCTAAATGCCATAAGAAACTTTCCGCGGAAGCTTCCGTGCTTCAATTAACGACGAAGATTCGCATTAAAGAGGCGGCGGCGCGTCGCGACTCGTTCCGAGAGAGAAACACATTGAGTTAACACATTGCACTGTCTATAGCGCGATAAAGGTCTAAAATCATGATCCACACAAAATGAACGAATTTTTCTTATAGAGGTATTTAGTCAAAAATGAACCACTTATTTGCCAAATTATTAACTAAAACTAAAGAATGAAAGTTTTACGACTATTTCACTGCTTGGATTTCATCATATCACTAATATTTCTCAAATAAATGAAACACACACACACACACACGCTCGAACATTGATGTGATTTAGATGTTAATTTTGATTTTTGTCTCTCTAAATTGCTGAAATTGCGTCACCAAATGAACAAAACAGTCTGTCGTCGCTAATTTTCTAACGATCGTTATCTCACGTTTCGAACCCGGTTTATATCGCTCGTTAAACGAAGCAAGTAAGCGAAAAACGTTTTCAGTGCCATAGGTGATCCAACTACGCTTTCTGTTCCGAGCGAAAACAGGTCTGATCCTGTTCGTTGTTCGCTGTCCTTCTGTGAAAAATTGCGCATCATCGCGGTTCACTTGTTAACGATATTATCAGGTACGAACTAGTTTCAAGTACGAACGTGTTTATAAATGTATCTAACCCGTAAACCGAGTGGTCACACGCTCGCACGTGTGAGGCCTGGAAGTTTATAAATTTTATCGCGATCATTGGTAAACTGTTTTTTGTCACGTTGTCCACTTTGAGTCGTAATAAACGTTCGAAAGGGAGAAAGAAAAATATCTAATGTACGAACGCTTCAACCAGTTAATTGGGTTGTTAAAATTAATAATATACTCGCTTGAAAATTAATCGAATTATAACGAGCAGCGTGGCATTAGGTTCTTTAAACAATCAATATTGTATTGGATGTTAAAAAATAATTGATGTTAATAGCAAACATCTACAGTTTGCTTACTAAAAAATCGGGAAGGAAAATTAAATAGATACGAGAAAATGATAAATTAGAAATTTGGCTCTTAAATAATGTTATTGGGTGGTTATTTTTTAAATAATAAAATTTAGAGTATTGAATATAATACATCCTCCACGATCGAGGTTAATAAAATTCAATTAAATAATAGAAAATTTTAAAATTATATAATCTACTTTAAATTGTTATAATTTTTAATTAATAATGATATCAAATTAATTCCTGTTTTATTCTATCAAGAAAAAAATTACTAAAGAAATGTTAATTATTAACTATTATGCAATTACTAGAAAACCAGGTAGATAATCTAAATATTTCATTTCAGAATAAATTTCTAAGAATAGTTTTATATATATATACACTGCAGTAATAGCAATTTACAGTAGTTTCTTAATTTCGTAGTTTCTTTATAAAAAAATTGTTGAAATCTCTAAAAGTATTATAAATCTTGAAAAATTTTATAAAAAATTATGAATTAGTCTTTTTATTCACTCTGACTATGATATTAAATTCGTTAAAAAAGTAGAAGCAATGAAGAATCGTTTCTGAAGGAATTTTAATTAGCCATTCCTAAATATCTCGCGATTTGATTATCAATCCCTGACATGAGTCATATAAGTGTCCGTCGATAAATTTCGACGCGGTAATTGCGACGCGAGGCGACACGATGCAAAATAACATTGTCGAATAAGTTTATGAGTTGGAATCAACATATCATTTACAGACAAAGATCTAGTGTCTTCTACGAGTGTTTCACGTTCGACATACTAGCACGTATCACATAAGCGCTTAGATTTGTTTAAAGCACCGTTCTTAAGATGTTTTATGTCGAGAATTAATTTGCACTCGATATATTTACGAGGCATTCATAGATAATGGTTATTACATCGACAAGCTGATCATTGAACGAATCTTTTTATTGTTTTCCCGAGACTTGCAGAAAAAGATTTCAAGAAATCGTTTGAATGTTTTCATTCCCCTTGTTCGATTACGATTTTTTTATAGATCTTGTATTTAACCCTACTCTTGTTTATATGATCCTAAATGGATGTTATACCTCAATAGATATTATTAAAATTTATTTTAGTAATTGTTAAATATTCAATTTTAGTATAATTGTGTACTAATTTTTGAATATTTTATGTACTCTGTGAATAAAGTACTATCTTATTAAAATCCTATTAAAGGTCAGCCTTGCATTAAACCAATATTTCACTTGCTCGATTAATTTATATTATTGAATTTTATTATTTTATTATATTTTTTAATATGGTAGATAGAAAAGGAAATGGTATCACATTTATAATACTATTATTATTGTTTGATTCTTAATATTATATTAGTAAATAAATAAAGCAAATAAAGAACATTGGTAACAAAGCAAATCACATTATTAAAAACATCGTTGACAACTATTATCATTCTATCATCCAAGATTACGAATATATAGCCTAATGCTACGAATATTCGTGTAAATTGTCGGAATGTGAAAATTCTTCATTAACGCTTGTGTCAATCGAGCAAAAAAATGAAAAAGAACCATACGTGCAATTATATAATCATGTATACTAACTCGCGGATACATCATCAATGTTAACGTCTTTACATTATCGCGACGCGGCCCTCTAATAATGAAATTAAAAGATCGTTGGTGGATCATCAAAGTAAAATGAAATATAGGTAGTAATTGCAATGTTCACTCATAAAATTAATTGGTCATACTTTTGAATGGCATGCTCGTTAACGCGTTATTTAACCAAGCTCTCTTTCCTTTCCGTTATTCTTGTATAACGAGGCAATCCCAGCGAGCGATTACTAAATAAGCAAACAACAAACAGGGTGGCAGCCAACGGCAGCTGCTTTTCAGCTTGAAATTAATGTTGTGCGCGCGGCAAGTGGCCAACCGTGTACAAAGGATATCCATAACTCTGTCGATAATTTTCGGATTCCTGATTAATTGCGTGCCCCCACGGTGCAACGACATCGAATCGACGACATGGTTTACTCTGTTGACACTTTTGCACTCGATAAATCACGCGAGTCACGAGGAGTTGCTACGGAACCAGTTGCTACCGATCCCCATTGCTCCAATCTCTTTGAAAAAAAAAAAAAAAAAACACTACAATTTTCCACCTTTCACATACTATCGTTTGCGTTATCCGCGAAATTTCCATGGTAAGTCGGCGAAATTTTTCGGAAATCGAAGCCAATGCACAAAATTAATCACTTCTTTTGAAAGAAATTTGTTTGGAGGTTATATAAAAACGCGGTTTATCCGTCGCGTCGCGTCATACACTTATGACGTCGCGCATGCGCAGAATGTAAATCTTGAAAAAACTTCATCCCTGCACTTTTCATATCCTTATATTAAACAATAAATTTTCACTTTTCAAAAATTAATAATAATATTTATCAAAAATTATTAAATTTAAAATATAAAATTGATCAATAACTCCTTTTAAATGAGTTTATTCGAAGGTTAAAGTAAAAAAGTAATTAAAAAACGGAAGTCACTCTTCGGACATCTTGCCGTCGGTAATGCGCATGCGCGAAGTACAAATGTCGAATGAAACTTCACAGTTCTAACGTGTTGCGTTTTATGCATCTGTGTTGTGCAAGAAACTTCCACAATAATTCAGTGAAATGTTCAAAAATCAGTGCCTAACAATAAATATGAAATTAATCACGCCTTTGGAAAGAAATTAAGGTAAGATTAGAAAAATAATTAAGAAAGAAAATTTATTTGTCAAACATTTTGTTGTCGATTTTCGCATGCATAAAATACGAATTTTGATTAGAAATTTTTAACTAAAATCGAACAAAAAAGTTTTATAACTTTTATATTCTACTATTTGCATTATTCAAGATATTTCTACAATAACTCTGCGAAATCTTTCAAAAATTGAAATCAAAGTCGCAAAATTAATTAATTCCTTTGAAAGATGTTGAGGTTAGGTTAAAATTCAAGCAAATTTGTACATCGAACACTTGGTCGAAATGTGCGTGTTAAGAAACGTGTTAATGGAATTTATAACATCATAGTCAGAACTTGGTTAAACGTGCAGACAATTCATTTGTATGTAATAATTCAATGTTACCCCTTTCTATTGTAATTTCAACTTCATTGTACGCACCGTTCAATACAGCATGATAACAGATTTCACCCCCATGTTGTTTTATTCAATTTATTATCGTGTAATTTCGCGGAAACTTGTCTATAGATATGATTTATTTAAACACGCACCATCGTCCGATCCATGTTAAGAGATTTTAATTCCGGTGTATTTTCCGTAAAGCCGCTTAATGAACACCTCGATGCCGGATTTCGATAAATTCGATTGTCGAGTGTATCTTTTTCGAGCATAATCAAAAAATAAGCCATGCCAATGAAATTAATCTTTCCAAGAGAAATTTGATGCTACGTCGAATATGTTTAAATTGTCATTACCGAATGACGAATGTTATATTGGCAAATTTAGGTACACTTGATTCGCAATTATTTCATGTTTGACGGTTTTAATAAAGTTCTATGTTAGAATAATTTTTCATACAAACAAACTACTCAAATGACATTATTCAAACGACCATATAAATTAAAAATAATAAATCACAAACAGAAGGACTTACTTTTCATCATTTTTACATACGTGACATTGTATTTTTGTAACGTTTACTAAAAAATACACGGATTAAAATGAGAATTATTCAAATTTCGCGTTTCTTTTACGTTATCATTTTTTATTCGTAATAGACGTAATGAAAAGAAAGAAAATACAAACATAAACTGTAGCTGATAATCACACAGTTAAAGTTAAGAATTAACAAATATGTCCTCTTTATTCGAATTTTCCTCGAACAAATGTAACGTGTTATTGAGGAAATAAACTATTCCTATCTAAAAAGTTTCCCGTTACAATACGAAAGATAAATCGATAAACGATCGCTTCTAAAGAAAACAGATATTGCCAGTGCTTGAAGCGCTTTCGGAACGTTGCTATCCAATTGAGAAATTGGAAAACTATCAGAAAGTTTGCGTGGCTACGGTACGTACCCGTGGTGGTGAATCGTGTCGTCCCGATGGACACGTGGTAACAGTGGTGCGCGACACTATTCCGAAACACCTGCGCGCACACGTTCTTCGCACAAACGATCGCGACGAGGATGCGACACACTGGCTATCTCTCGACACTGGGAGCAGCCTATGCCTCCCCCGCAGCCACTTCCTTTCGATGATTCGCGTGCGGCGGTGGCGGTGGTGGCGGTTCACCAGCTCCGCCGGTTCATCACCTAGCAGTTCACTTTTCGCCGGAAGTGGCTATGTGGATCACGAAAACGCGCGCCTTGAAAAGGTGCTCGTGGGGGAGGGCCCGATACGCGCGAGTAGGGGCAGTACGAGGGACCACCGCCAGCTAGACGGCCGTGGCAGGGCGTGGGGGAAGAAATCGACAGAGAAGCGAAGGAAAAGAATCACCGACGAGAGAAACCGACACGATGCAAGGGAAAGGGAGAAAAAAAAAAGACGGGGAAACGATGTGGCGGTGAGCACGAAGGTGAAAAAGGGCGAAGAAGGTCGAAGGGAGGAGTGAAGAAGGTGGATAATAGTCGCGGAGGAAAGTAATATTACCGGTGACAGATGGGTGGAAGTGACAGAGGGAGATAGAAACAGGTACGGAGATGGAAACGGAGCGAACGAGAAAGAAGGATAGACAGGCTGACAGGGAGAGAGAAAGAGAGGGAAACAGAAAAGAGAAAGAGAAGAAGAGAGAGAAAGAGAGGGAAACAGAAATGACGGAACACGGATACCAGGTCCGGCAGAGAAGTCGTGGGCACGATCGCCGTCACAACACTAGCGGTCTGGTGGTACACTCTTCCGATGCTACGTATACACGGTCCTCTCCGCTCCGTATCCCTGTTCGCTGTTTCTCTGTCTTGGTCTCTCTTCTCGATCGGCTGGCCCTGTGCGCGCTCCCCTTCCTCCTCCTTCTGCCCCCTCTGGCCACCAATATAGCGGACTCTCTCGGCTCGACTCCTATCTACGTATATACGTAAGTACGCGATACACGGATTACGTCTGACTACTACGCGGCTCGATCTCGCCTCTCTTTTCCGCCTCCTCCACGGCTCGGTTACGTTTAACAGAGAGAACTCGGAGGTTCCCTCCTACCTTGGACGGCCGCAAAAGCACGAACCGAGAACCGAGACAGGGCAATCTACTAGGTAAGACTAGTTCCTCCACCCAGTCGTGGACCCGTTTTCCGTCGACCACTCTTTCCCTTCCTTTTGCTCTTTCTCTCTCTCTCTCTCTCTCTCTCTCTCTCTCTCTTTCTTTTCCTCTGTCTCTCATTCGCACTCTTGCCCATTCCCTCCGTTTCCCCATCTCCCTCGCCTTCTCTTCCTACCAGTTGCTCTTTTTATCGAGACTCCGTCTCTCTTGTTCGTTTCTTTCTTCGTCTTCGTCTCCTTGCCTCTACCTTCTACCCTCTCCCGTGACTTTGACTCCACTCCTTCTTTCCTGTATTTCGTCTCTCGTCTTGTGCCTCCTCGATCTCCTTGCGCCGGAGGAATCTGTCTCCCTTTACTTTAACTCGCCGCTCCTTCGACGTGACTTTATCTACTCCGGACCTTCGCTTCTTTCCAAGCTTTTACTCATTCCCTTCGGCGCCACGCTACGCCGATCCACCATCCTGTTCTTGCCATCCGTCCTTTTGCAACGCGGCGTGTTCTCCCAATTTATATTTGTAGCAGCGCGACCTATTGCGAAATTTCTTTTTTTTTCTCCCGATCTCTCAACTCTTTACTCAACTCTCTTTCTCTCTCTTCCTGTTTTATCCGCGCTTTATTTGTTCGGTACTCACCGCTTTTATTCGTGTCTCATGTTGCAAGCGTGTACCTTGTCAGCCTTTCTCTCTTTCTCTCTCTTCCAACTCTTTTCTTTTTAACTGCTCCACCTCCGGACCGTTCTCCATTCGAGCGTTTTCTCCTTCGAATTTAGTTCCCGTTTGTTTTACTCGTGATTCGTACTGCTCGTTAGCCGTTGCGTGCGCTCGCCGCGTGCGCATAAATCTCCCGACGCGGCGTGTCGCGAATTTCCTCTCTTTTTCCAGCGGTCGTCTTTATTTCAGCCCGTTGGTGAACGCGAGCGCGCATATACACTTGATCTGCAACGCGCGAATAAACATCGAAATAGAGACCTATCAAATGGATTGTTCTGAGTTTTGCTACGAAATTATAATAGTTTGAAATATAGACAGTTTTTCACCGTCATTGATTTTATTGTATTCCGTCATTGATGTATTTCAATACATATTCAAAATCACGATCTCTATTTCGAACCGTCGCGTCGCATTGCTTCGTTTCACGCGGCTTTCACTGTACAGCGGGATAGACGATAAATATTCTCTCGCCTGCTTGCAAATCGGCCGTTTCGTTCTTGCGACGAGTTCATAAATATCGAGGGGAACGATCGATTGTTTCTCTGTCACCACGTTATTTTGCGAATCAGCATAAATTTGCCGCGACGACGTCTCTGCCTTCATCCGCGATTTGCCGCTACCTTCCACGACCAAGACAAGCCAACTCCGTCTGAATATCATTATGGCATTGTTACTCTGTTACGACGAACTCCTAGAATTCTTTATTTCGTAAATTATCATAAATTAGGTATAAATCAAGCGCGCTGTTTTCGTATTACATCCGGATAATCTTCTGTATCCATGTTTAAACGAGTAGTACTTGGATAGTTAAACATTTTATCTATCCATTTTTCTGCTTTCTATTTGCTTTCTATTTTGTATTGTACCATTTGAAACAAACAACGTCTCTTTATTCTTAAATTTCTCTTTACCCAAAATGTTTCGTTGAGCTGTTAATTGTGTAGATAAAATTAAGAGACGACGAGTGTAGAGTAAATGCACCTGTTGCAGAATTAAATTAAATTGCAACGATCGTAGTTGGTTTTTTTTTTTTTTTTTGAAAAAAAATCAAGCATTTTATTGCACAAATTCGCGGAAGTCAAGCACATGGACAAAAATGACAAATTAGAAATTTAATCTGTTTTTGTTTCTATTTTAACAAGAGAAAATATTGCTGAATTGTTACGCAGTTACTGAACAACTAAATAAATATTCTGTTTCAATACAGATTTCGAGAAATTACAATTTTACGTACTGTTAGCAATTCACTGTGTGTAAATTTTTTTTAAATGAACATCAGTTGTTTTTTTTAAATAAACAACTGTTCAAATATTGACACTATTGTTTTTATTAAAATATATATATCAGAAAAATAAAATGCACGGAAAAGAAATAATGAATTTTAGAAGCTTATACTTATATTTTATTTTATTGCTCTAAAACGTTTTAAATTTATAAACATTTTTCAGTTTTTTACTAAAATTTTAATTCAAAAGATTTTTTTCACATACGAATGGAGTGTCAGTGACATAATGATCATTACTATGCGGCAATAATGGGTTAGTATAACCATTGAAAGTGTGAAGGATTACAATATAAGTGAACTTCTTCCTCAAATCAAATTACAAATGGCACAATTGACAATTCACACCTATTAAATCTTATAAATTTGTACGTATTTATACTCATTTTTAGTCAAAAATAATTATTATCTTACCATATTTGTCACCTTGCTCTTTCAAGTTTGGTAAAACTGACCCATTAACTCTACTACTAGAATTCGTAATTATAATGATGTATTTTTTAATTAAATTACAAGCTTGCCAACACTTTCTTGTAACTGTAAAGTTTCCGTGTTTCTTTCACTGTATTATAACTGAATACGCCACGTATGTATGTCAAAAGATATTATATTATAGACTTACATTTGAGAAGATACGCCAACTTGTTTGATCCATAAACGAGTCGTTGTACCTGTAACTAAAGTGAAAGAAATAAAAAGAAGCCTATTAAATAAATTAAATCTTCAGTGCAGTATTGTTCAGAATAGGTAACAGAGACTACAACCTTCTGATATTCTAATACGTGGTGGGAAACATTTCGGTTGCCTGTCACGTTCAAACAAATTTCAAGCGCGTGGTCGCACTCGCTTTCGCTGGTACGTGCCGCGTTCCACTCTCCCCTCTATTCGATACGATAATTGCGCATTTCAGAAATCTTGTGCCGACTGAATACGATTGCAAAGAAGGCTGCGACTGAATGAAAACGGCGGAGATTACACGGGGTAATTTTCTTAGAGACGCCAGAAAAGTACGTGATTGCGGCAGAATTAATCGCGGCGCGTTTTAGAATAAACATCGTCTCGCAATAAACGCCCGTTCGCGAGAAGAAAACTTATGGCAGAAGTTTAGTATTTAGGACAGCAGGAGTGGGTGGTACATCAATGGAAAGTTTATGATGAGAGAAACTCATCAAGGTGTCAAAATTCTCCAATTTAAGAGTTGTAGCCATTTTCGTAACTTTCATGAAGAAAATAATATAATTACTGGCCTTTCTGCTTGTAGATCAATTTTACTCGAATGTTTTTATATGTAATTTACAAATACATTTGTAATCGTCAGTGCTCTCAGTGAGTTTTCTATATAAATACAGAATGGGAATAGTTAATTTTGCAACTTTTGATTCGGTTTAATGTTATTGTTAATATCTGTCACAGATAATATAGAAAAACTTGAATACAAAATAAATTTAAAACTGTAGAATGCAAAATAAATTTTTCTAATATAATACAAATTCTTATTGCCACAGATGTGATCGTCACACAATCTGTACTCTACATAAATACAAGTTTGAAATTTTAGCGTGAATATAGATAATTATACGTATTATATATACATAATTATATTGTTTTTTTCCATCACATCCTCTGATACTATCGATAATGTTTTCATTGATGTACCACATGTTCTGGTTGAAGTTGACCTAAATACCAAATTCCAACCAAACTTCCTTTTTGCGAATTATCGTGTACAACCGTGTAATCTATGAAAATTCTTCTTGGCAATCTGACGTTTGCGCGTTCGATCCTTGCTTCTGAAATATCGCATCTATTACAGCGGATTTCTCGCATGGCGGATCCGCCACGCGTCTCCACGCTGTTTGAGAAGTTTGCTTTGAGGAAAACAAAGATCCGTCGGCGAAGTTTCGAAGATTCTTCGAAAAGAAATCCGCCGTTCGCGGGAGTTTTACGTTTCTGCGCGAGTTCCTCCACCTTGCAAAGTACATACATAGAAGTCGAGAAGAATTCACTGTTGGGTTTTCGGGTGTATTTACGGGATTGATTTTACCAATTTAGAATTAAGCCTTTGGTGTGGGCGGAACATGTGGAACTGAGGCTAGAAAATAATGCTTCCGTATTTAACAAACGAATTTTTACAGAATACACCTATATTATAAGTAGACCGCGGATTTTTATGCAAATTCATATGTTTACGAATACAATTAACGTTAAAACTAACGCATAAAAATTGTATCGAAGAGATTAAAGTACAACGAATGGGAAGGAGTTTATAATACAATAAAGGACACGAACCTTTATTTAATTTGTCAAATACTTCAAAATACTTCACAATACTTCACTCAACGATTAACTTAAAAGCGCTAGAACATTTTTTACATTTCACTCTTGTTCACTATATAATCTTCTAATCATCTAGACAACGACTCGTCGTAGTTTCACAGGAAAGTTTTATCTTTCCTTCTATCAATTTTTCTTTCGTTCTACTGCACTAAATTCCACCTCTTTCTTTTTGATCTTTTTCCTGGTTTGTTCCACCGTTATCATTCTCCGCATACCTGTCACCTAGCTCGCGACAATTGAAATCTCTAGTAGCGTTTCGAATAGTTTAAAAGCACGAATTCTTCACGTTCGTTCCGGTAACAAATGAAACGTCGTGTTACCGCCGGTATTACATTGTTGTCGTGACAAAGGAACGAGAAAAATCGGATCCGAAAGCAAGAGAACGATACACTGCAACAGCAGTTGTAACGCAACACGAAGGGTCAAAATGGTGTCACAGTGAAATCAAAAGGTATTCGGTTCAATACGTATCGCCCCGTTCTGATAGCGAGTGCGAATAGCCAATATACAAGGATCAATCGTGCATCGTCGAAAAATCTCAGCTACCTTGTAACACTCGGCTAGTTAAGAAATTTGAAAAATATGCAGGATATC